CGTATCTTGTCAAGAGCTGTAAACACCTTGGCTCCAGCCGGCTCGGCGCGCCTGCGCTCTCACGCAAGCGCGCTCCTGTAGTCCTACTTCAGAGCACTGCCCTTCCTGCGCGCGGCAGTCATGCCGCCTAAACTTGCCATGGGCGCTTTGCCGCCTCCGTGTCTGGCGATGAAAAACGCCATGGTTCTGACGGGCGGCGAGGCCAGTGTGGAGAGCTCGCGCCGATGCGCAAGCGGAGCGGTGCTCTCCGCATTCAATGCGTACCGCCGCCAGCTTCAGAATTGGTGGTCCGATACGCTCTACGCGAGGCACTCCGAGATGAACGACGACGGCAAGAGGCAGTGCTTGGTGGCGTACCTGCAGAACCCTGCGTCGGGCGGATTCCCCCAGGAGGCTCTTCTAAATGACGGCGGCGGCCCGCCAGCGAAGGTTCGGCGAGTGCGCGAGGCCGGCAGCGCGGCGGCTGACACAGAGGCCCCCACCGCAGCGTTTCGTTGGTGCCGTGCCGTGCCGTGCCGTGCGCGGCCGTGCACTCCCGTGCTGTGCCGTTGCACTGCCGTGCCCTGCACTGCCGTGCCGCGCATTGCCTTTCAATTCTGCTTGAGGGCTCTTGGGAAGCACCAGCCCCCCCATGGCCACTTGCATGCCTGGCGCTACGGCGCCCACATGCGACGCCCTGGCCGGCGGCAGCTGCGATTTCGAGTTCCGAGTTACAAGTTCTCCCGTTCTCTCCCGCCCCTCCTTGCCCTCCCTCTATTCCTTCCTTTCCTCTCCCGAGGATGCGGAGGAGTTGACGCAAGGAGTTGAGAGAAGTGCAGGGGAGTTGAGAGGAGGAAGAGTTGAGAGGAGTGCGAAGGTGTTGGGAGGAGTGCGGAGGAGTTTAGAGGAAGAGTTGAGAGGAGTGCGGAGGAGTGCAGAAGGATGAGTGCAGAAGCAACTGAGAGGAGGAGTTGAGAGGAGCGCGGAGGAGTTGAGAGGAGCGCGGGGGACTTGTGAGGAGTGCGGAGGAGTGGAGAGAAGTGCGGAGGAGTTGAGAGGAGTGGTTCTGGGCCCCAGGACCGCCAGGAATCGATATGGGACGAAAAACTACGTCGGGGAGACCCCGGGAGGGGTCTGGGGAGATTGATTGTAAAGAGATTTCGATCGAGGGGGCGACGACGACGACGACCACGACGACGACGACGACGACTACGACGAAGACGACGACAACGACCAGCATTCCCCTCCCTCCATTCCCTCCTTCCCCTCCCTCCATTCCCTCCCCTCCCCTCCCGAGGAATGCGGAGGACTTGAGAGGATGAGGAGGAGGAGGAGGAGGAGGAGGAGGAGGAGGAGGAGGAGGAGGAGGAGGAGGAGGAGGAGTTGGGAGGAGGAGGAGGAGGAGGAGGAGTTGGGAGGAGTGCGGAGGAGTTGCGAGGAGGACGAGTTGAGAGGAGGGCGGAGGAGTTCAGAGGAGCGCGGGGGATTTGAGAGGAATGCGGAGGTGTTGAAACGAGTGTGGAGGAGTTGGGAGGAGGAGTTGATAGGAGTGCGGAGAAGTGCAGAAGGATGAATACAGAAGGAGGTGAGAGGATGAGTTGAGAGGAGGCCGGAGAAATTGATGGAAGTGCGGAGAAATTGAGAGGAGTGCGGAGGAGTTGAGAGGATTGGTTGGGAGGAGGAGGAGGAGGAGGAGGAGGAGGAGGAGGAGGAGGAGGAGGACGACGACGACGACGCCGATGACCACGAGTGCGGCGACGAGTACGACGAGCACTACGAGCACAACCAGTACGACGACGACGACGAGTGCGACGACGAGTGCGACGAGCAGGACGACGAATGCGAAGACGAGTGCGATGGCGAGGTACGACGACGAGTACGATGACGAGTAAGACGGTAGAACGGCAACGAGTACGACGACGAGTACGACGAGTACGACGACGAGTGCGACAAGTACGACGACGATTCGCGACGAGGGTTTGGAACGCAGGATTGCGCATAGATGATACTGACAAGCAAACACATAAGATTAAACATCAATATGTGGGGTTCCTCGGTAGCGTAATTGACAGGGGCGGCGGGGGTGGTGGCGCGTGGCTTACTGTGGGCAGGCCCACCAGACACGATGATGGGCATTGATGCATTGCTTTTCGACAGGGATGGGTGGGGCCGACATGTGTTGCTGATGTGTGCTGTCACGTGCGCAGGCGCACCTGTTGCACTCTGCACGTATCCCGAAGGTGGCGCACCTGGGAGGCTGGAGTGTGCGGAACACCTGGCGCACTCGGAACACGTGGCGCATCTGGCGCACCAGGCGTGCCTGGCACGCTCGGGCCCCAGGGGTGCCTCGCGAGCGTGGCGCCTATGCCACGCGTGGCGCACGTCGCCCAAGCGTCGCGCACCTGGGGTCGGCTTTGTTTCTCAGTAGCTGTCCATCCAAAAACGACCGCTGAACATGCTCAGGCTCAGGTGCTACCTTATGTGTTGGGAGGGCGAATGGGGGTGAGCTACACGGCTTGCGGGCGGGTGGGTAGCTTGACCCCTCCCCGTACCCCCCCCGTGGACCTAGACGGGGCCGGTCGCGAGGTGCGCAGGCGCCCAAAACAACCACGGCGAGGAAACCGCAATCTTTGTTTTTTGTACTCGCGTTATGGCCCCAATTAAACTTCTTGGGAAGGAATCGCTAATTGGAGCTCCCCTCTTGTTTGATCGATGTCCTCCAAAAAGGCCCGAGGAACGCTCGCAAGGCTCCCGCGAGCGCTTCAAGAGGGCCCTAAGAGGCGCCCGGGAGGCACGAGGAGGCCCCAAGAGGCGCCCACGAGGCCTCCAAGCGGCTCCCAAAAGGCCCCCAACAGGCCCCCAAGAGGCCCCAAGAAGCTCTCCGAAGCACCCAAGACGCTCCCAGAGGCCTCCGAGGCTGCCATAAGCCCCCAAGCCACTCCCAATGGCCTCCACTGGGGGACCTTTCCTTTGCGTGCTGCCCACTTCCCTGATCGAAGCAACTCCTCTGGGCTTCGTTTGTGGATGGGCTGGCGGGGTGACTTTGTGGTACACGGGCGCGCGAAGACGAGTCGAACGCCGTGCAAGCTAAGGCGGGCCGCGCCGAAGCAAAGAAAGGGCCAGCGAAACGAACGGCGCCCAGCTCAGAGCGGAACTCGGCCCAACGCGGCCAAAATGGTGCTGAAGGCATCGCGAAGCAGCACCGAGGCCGTGTCCACCGAAAGGCCAATTAGGACGCAAGGGCGGTGTGGGAGCGCGACCACGCACACGGAAAGTCAGCAGCCCGGGCTCCCAGAACGCACTTGCCGACGAAGATGTCCTAGAGGAACTAGCAGTCACGAGCTTCCGGCAAAGATGCGGCAGCCAAAACGGCGAGAGAAAACTGGCGTTCAATGGCATACTCTCCAAGCAAGCTTGTCGAACTCGAAGTCCTTGGAACCTTACGGCCATCACATACATAGTGAAACGAGCAGGCAACCCCGAAGGCTGGTGAAGTTACTTTTTTAGTCAGCGGCCGCGGGCGAGCGCGCCGGCGGCGAGTCAGGTCAAAGCGGGCTACGCAGAGACGAATTAGGCAGAGGAGACGCGGGAAAAAGAGAGCAGAGCAACGCGCGAGGCGACCGGTAAGCGCCGGCCGAAGCTCAGGTGGGTGTGAGAACTGGTGAAACTACGCGAAGCGTTTAGAATTTGGAATTTGGCGCGAACTCCTGCTGTAAACATCTCGCGAAAAGCTCGGCCGTCAAGTTCACTCGGGGACCGTCAATAAGCGGCATCAGACCCGAGATCTCGCATATACGTTCCCAGAGATCATCGCCCAAAGCGTTGGTTCGTGACGTCCCCCCGTCGCTTTTCCCTACACTACACGCCGAAAGCGTTCTGGTGTCCCCCGACTCGTTGTCGCTGTCATACTTGTTCCAGGGTTGTATATGGACACCACACGATTTACATAGCAAGTCTGGATCTTCATCGAATTCAGTCTGTATATGTTTATGTATATATATATATGTATATAAACATGTCTCGACGTTGTCCCCAAACATCGGCTGGAGACGAATCGTCAAGCCCTCAATGCTGGCAGCTAGCTTTTCCAGCTTCCTCTGGCGCAGGAAACGGCCACGGTGTCGAGGAAGGCGCCTGGCGGCGGGGCCGGAACCAAACTGCATCCGGCACTTCTCGCAACCCCCTACCTTACGGGACGAGGGGAGCCGAGACCCCCGGCAACTCGAGAGGGGGGGGCGGAAGCGAACCACGGTTTGGACCTCCAAGGAACTCTGGACAAAGGCTTTCCCGGGAGCCTTCCCGTGGCAGCTGGATGCCTCCGACCAGAGGCCTCTGAAGACCTCCAGGGACCCCGCCTTCTGGCGATCCGACAAGATCGCACTGGATTGTTCTTTTGGCTGCGTTCGACTGGGAGCCGCTTCAGGGCCCCCTGGAAGGGGTCGAGGGCCGCGCGCGGGAAAGCATAACGTCAGAGTTCTGGGGGCGCCGCCTGCCAGCGAGGCGCACCGCCTCTCAGAGGCCGTCGGGTGAACGCGCTGGCCGGAAACAGCTTGACAGAAGCACGGAGCGGGAGGGCGGCCGAACAGATTGCGTTTCTCGGGCGCGGCCCAACCGCCCCCTTCCGTCACGACTCCAGCCTCCACCCCACACCTTGGGGCGAGGCGAGGGGGTCGTCACGAAGGGGTCGGTCAGGCCAAGCCCGAGTTCTGGCCCGCCCGAGGGGTCCCTCTGCTGGCGGCCAACCTGTGCCAGGAGGTGGGGAGCTCCAGGGCCCAACTCCCCCGCCCTGCCCCCCTGCTGGGCGCCACCGGCTGTGGGTGGTGACGTCCATCCCGACTCCGGCCAATGCTGGCCCGTGGTTCACCATGGCGCCGGGAGAAGGAGAGCGTGCACCCACCATCAGGCCTTCGCAGGGCCGCCCCGGGGCCCCGGCCTTGTTGGCGGGCACTGCCGCTTGGCCGGATATTCACCATTGCCAAGGTCTGGCCCCAGGTGGGCCTGCGGAGTCTGGCACACGGGCATCAGGTCCTTCCAAAGCGGGTCCTGCACCCCGAGGCCTCTCCCCGTGGCCACTTTGCACCTCGCGTCGTTCTTGGCCGTCCTGAGGCCATGGGGACGGGCCTCATGACGGTCAAGCATGGCCAAGTGCCTCCAGCACACCCTTCCTCCAGGAAACCATTCCTGCACGCTGAGCGTTCCTTCTCCCGAATGCGGACGCCCCACCCCACCTCCTGCAGCATCCGGAGGTCGTTCAGGTCGTCTCCGAAAGCCCACACGCTCTGCATCTGCACCCCTATCGCCTGGCAGAGGCCCGCCAGACCGTCCGCCTTGTTGACGCGGTCGCTCTGCAACTCGCAAGTCTTGGTGATACCTGGCAGCAACTGCTTGATCGGGCGCACCTCCCAGCCAGTGCCTGCCGAGGCCTTCAGCTCTGCCATTGTGGCGTCGAAATCCTCTGAGCTTGGCACTGTGACATAGCACTTGGCGCACTTCACGCCCTCATGCAGCTCCTCTGCGATGTCGGCCACGGCCGATGCAAAGAAGCGCCTTGCCTCCAACGCCAGTTCTTCGCACTGCAACCAAGGATGACCTTCCTCGATGAGACCGCCGCCTTTGGTCAACTGCGCAAAGAAGCACCTGCTCTGCGATCCCTGCCGTATGCCTCGTATTGCAGCGCCGTATTCTGGCCCGTCAAGCCACAGCTCGTACAGCGCGCGCCCGCCCTCCACCTGAATGGCCCGCGCGCCGTTCTCGGTGATCACAAGCCCTGGTGGCGCCTACAGAAAGGGGTGGTTCTAGTGGGCCGGGCTCTCTGACGACGAGGCGGGTGGCGTCTTGAGAAAGATCGGAGGCCTCGAAGAAATCATATTCGAGGCGTCCGATAGCCTCTTCAGAAACGGGGGGGTGGGGTCCCAGGGGGGGGGTCCCGGGGGGTGGTCCAGTGTCAGAATACCACCCTCCCGGGGCGTGTCGGGAGCGCCCTCTCCCTCCCATTTCCGTCGAGGGCCGAGGCCTCCAAGGTCGGCGGCACCGACCGTACGGCCTCAGCAATCATCTTTGATGCCTCCGATCGCCTCTTAAGGAACTAACCTGACAGGCAAACAGACGCGCTCGCTGGCCGGAGGCCGTCCCCAGGTGAGACACGCGGCGGAGCCTCAGCTCCGTCCAGCACGCTCCAGGTGTGAGTGTGCTCGCAGCGCCAATCCAACCTGGGCCGTTCTGAGAACCCCAACCCGGCTTCTCAGTATGCCGCCCGCCTCGCTGAGGGGCAAAGAAAAGGGGGGGGCTGCCTCAGGAGGGAAACATCGACCTGGAATCGGCGATATATCGCTGATGGATCGGCGTTCGGCCCCCGATAGCGAATCCGCACATTCCTGGACGGGGCTAGTGGTCGTCGGTGCATCCCCCCTGACGATGCCCCGGACTCGCGTCATCCCCCTCGTAGGCGCCGCCAGCATACCTCTGCATGCCAGCCTTCTCCAGGGTCGCCAGCGCCTTCTCGAGCGGGCGCCCAGTCACGAGGACCACGGGTATGCCGAGCGCATGAACCCTCGCCGTGGCCGTGGTCGGTGGGACGCCCCCAGGGCCGAGGGGCAAAAGGGGGTGGGGGTGAGACAAGAGCAACCCAGTATACCCGTCATGGGCAAACACACACAACACACAGACACACACACAGACACAGACACACATATACATACACACAGACACGGACACAGACACAGACAGACACACACAAACACACACACACACCACACACACACACCACACACACCACACACACACACACATTTTTGCATTGCATTAATGGGTCACGCAAAACGCGAATTGAGCCACAGGGCGCGAGGGAGGAGAGAGGAGGCCCGGCGCGGGCGGGAGGGAGAGGAACATGGGCCTGCTCAGAGCAGGGGCAGGCCGCGGCGGGGCGGGCGCCAGGGCGAGGGGCCAGCTGCGGCGGCGAGGCGGCAGCTGGGGGAAGGCAGCTGGCGGGCGGCTGGGCACAGCCAAGCGGGGCTGGCAGGTCCAGCGCAAGCTGGAGGCGGGGCAGCGTAGCAAGGCCACCGAGGTGCCGAGATCCAGGAGACCTCCATGCAACTGAGGGCGGCAGCCTGAGTAGACCACCTCAGGTGAAGGGCCGGGGGAACCAGGGAAGGAGACCCAGCAGGGCGGAGCGGGGGAGGCGAGGGCCGGCCAGGGTGACCTGCGAGGCAATCCGACGAGGACGGCCCAGGACAACCCCTGGGCGAGGTGGCAGAAAACACAAGAAGAATGGTAGGCAGCAGGGGCGGAACCTGCTGACCGGTAACGCCGGTGGGGCAAGCACGCCAGATGGGCAGGCCTGAAAATCTAGCAATAGGGGCGGTGGGTGCCGTAGCCGTGGGTGGCCAGCAAGGCAGACGAGGGACCCCGCAGACACACACAGACATAGAAACACACACTGACACACACACACAAACAAACACACAGACACACACGCACACACAAACACACACAGACACACACACACAAACACACAAACATACACACACAGACACACACAGACACACACGCACACAGACACGCAGACGCACACACAGACGCACACATACAGACAGTCACACACAGACAGTCACACACAGACACACAGACACACACACACACAGACACACACACACAGACGCACAGACACACACGCAGACACACACACACAAACACACACAGACACACACACACACAGACACACACACAGACACACACACACAGACACACACACACAACACACAACACAACACAAGCGGCGGAGACCCAACGGGTGGTGGCTGATGTTTCCTGGCCAGTTGGCGGCGTGCGCGTGGAGGCGGGGCGAGAGGGGGCGGCCTGCCAAGAAGGTCCGAGGCCTCTCAGGAGGGATCGGAAGCGTCTGGTAAGGTTTCCGGGAGGCCAGAAGGGCTTCTAAGAAACGCCACGCCTACTTGTAAGGCCGCCCCCCATCGCGCCAACCCCCTCCCCCTTCTGCGCGCCGCCGACAACCGTTTGTTAACAATGGCCCCCGGGTCAACCCAGAAAGCAACCACACAAGATACAAGATGCGAGACCCGCCGGGCTCTTGGCTCAACTGCCCCCCTTCCTCAGAGCAGGTCTTCCATCTCGGGCATTCTCTGACGCCCCAGCGCCCGAAACAAGCCTCTAGCGGCCGAACGATACCGCCGCGAGCGTCGCACAAACCTATGTATCCGATGTTTCGATTTTTTACATACGGGCCCCCTGTATCTCCCAAGTCCCGACCTTTCCTCATGGCCAGCTTTTCGTCCCGCGAGCCGTTTCTCAACTTAATGGTCCGAGGGCCCAGCGAAGGCCCCTGGAGGCAGAAACGCGGCACGCACTTCTGCATCGAGTTTCCAATGCGTTGAAGGTCTGGAGTTCCAACGTCTAGATGAAGAGAAGACGGCGCACCATAACAACTCAAAAGTCCGCGCGAATTTCTTGTCGGCGCCGGAGCCCCCTCCCTGGCACTCGCGGATCCCGCCAGGGGCGGCGCCAGAGACGTCACCAGGGGGTCCAGCGCCGGTCCGAGAAACCCCCGCGCACACCTTCGCAAACCTACACTCATGCCGCCTCTTTTTCTTCGACCGTCGGGGGACCGCGGCCCTGGCCCTCAGAGCGGCCGACCGGCTGCGGACTCCACAACGTCCCGGGTGTAGTCGCTGACGCTGCTGCCGTCCGCGCCCAAGAGCGTCCCGTTGCCGTCCACCGCCACCAAGGCCGGTGCGGGCGGTCGCAAGGGTGCCCCAGCCGCGCCCATGTGGGCCATGATGTCCGGCCTGCGAGAGGCGGGGCTGGACGGGCGGACTCTCTGGGCCGAGAATGCGAATTGAGGAGGGGGGATGGAGGCCGTCGTCGAGCGCAGGGATGGCGTGCGCCAGGGGGGCGCCCTTCTAAGGCGGGGGGGCGGCTAAAAAAAAACGCGGGGGGCTTCAACCTGCCACAGGCACGGGGCCCCGTGCGGCGCACGCGCCAGCGCCGCGGCGCGCACAACGGAGGCGCGGCGCGCAAGACCATGAACGGTTGCGAGCAACCGCTCTCGAGGAGGACGATCAAGACGAGGAGAGACCACCAGCTACAGGCGAAAAGGGGAAGGAAGGAGGGAGAAATACTAGCATCGGTCAACAGTCAAGGGCCCCCCATAGAGGGCGACCATGTGTCCAGCCCGACCGCTGAACCGACCGTTGCTCCAGCAACCCTGAAGAGGCCTGGACCAGGATAGGCTTTCCCCCGCCACCACCCCTTCTTCCTGACCCCCCATCGTGTTATGCGCAACCGGGAAAACGGAGCTGCGTACATACGAGGAGGTGGCGGGTGAACAAGAGGATGTGCAGGAGGACAAGTTGTTTCCCCGGCAAGCAATGTTTGGTGCACCCTTTTATAATCGAAGTCTCCGCCACCCCGCGCGGGGCCATGAGTGGTAGCGACAGCACCATAGATAGAGTCAGCGATCGTCATACAGGAGCCGTCTGGCCCGCGACTTCTCCGCGCCCCTCTTGACCCAACGTGATAGCAACGTCCGTGTCGAGACTCCCGTGTCCGTTGTTTCAAACCAGAGGTAATTGGTTGACACAACCGTTGTCCCCACCGATGTGCAGGAGGACAAGGAGACGAGGCCGAACAGCATCAGCAAGAACTGGAGTGGAAGGAGCGGGGGGACCAGGACCAGGGGAAGGTGGAACAGGGGAGATGAGAGGGGCGACAACGATGAAAAAGGACCCGGATCTAGAGAAGTTGCCCGCGCTGGGCTGACAGCGCCATTCTGAACCACGGGAGCCAAGCGGCGATCCGAAAATGAGGCCAACGCTGCAGCGGGAACCCAATTATGACACCGAAATGGGAAGCGGGAGTGGAAGGACATGAAGTGGAGAACGGAAGTGATGGTGTAAAGCGGGGGGAGGAAGATGAGGGACGGAAGGTAAGAAGGACTCCTTCTTGTCAGTCCCTCCTCTTTGCGTTGCAGTGTCCCGACATGTATACGTGAGATATCTTTGCGTCTGATCCCTCCTTCCTCTTCCTCGTCCTCCTTGTCTTCCTCCTTCTCGTAGTTCCTGCTCCTTCTCCCACTCTTCCTTCTCCCCGCTTTCCCCTTGATCCCCTTCCTTCCTTGCTTTTCCTGTCCTCATATCCCTCCTCCTGCATTCTTTCCTGTCCTGTCCACATATGTTCTAGCTGCTCACTCATCGCTCCTCCCTCCTATTCCACCAATCCTTCCTCCACCTCCTCGTTCTTCTCCTCCTCCACCTTTTTCTCCTCCAGTTGTCCTCCTCCTCCCGATTCCGTCCTCCTCCTCCGCCTCCTCCTCCCTCTCCTCCACCCTCCATCCTGTTACTTCTGCCTCCTCCTCCTCCTCCTCCTCCTCCTCCTCCTCCTCCTCCCCATCCTCCTCCGGACTCCGTCCTCCTCCTCCTCCTTCTTCTCCTTCTCCCCCCCCTCCTCCTCCTCCTCCTCCTCCTCCTCCTCCTCCTCCTCCTCCTCCTCCTCCTCCCTCCTCCTCCCCTCCTCCTCCTCTCCTCCAATCCTCCCCCATCCTCCAATCCTCCAATCCTCAATCCTCCAATCCCAATCCTCCAGTCCTCCTCCTCCTCCTCTCCTCCTCCTTCTCCTTCTCCCCCTCCTCCTCCTCCTCCTCATGCTCCTCCTCCTCTTCCCATCCTCCCATCCTCCAATCCTCCAATCCTTCAATCCGCCAATCCTCAATCCTCCAGTCCTCCTCCTCCTCCGCCTCCTCCTCTCCTCCTCCTCCTCCTCCTCCTCCTCCTCCTCCTCCTCTCCTCCTCCTCCTCCTCCTCCTCCTCCTCAACTCCTCCTCCTCTCTCCTCCTCCTCCTCCTCTCCTCCTTCTCCTCCTCGTCTCCTCCGCCCTTCATGCTTTTCCTTATGCCTCCTCCTTCCTTCCGTCCTTCCTTCCTTCCTCCTCCTCCTCCTCTCCTCCTCCTCCTCCTCCTCCTGTCCCTCCTCCTTTCCCTCCTCCTCCTCCTCCTCCTCCTTTTCCTCCCCCTCCTCCTCCAAACCTCTGCCCTCCATCCTGTTCCTTCTGCCTCGTCGTCGTCCTCCTCCTCTTCCGGATTCCGTTCTCCTCCTCCTCCTCCTCCTCCTCCTCCTCCTCCTCGTCCACTCCTCCAATCCTCCTCTAATCCTCCTCCAATCCTCCTCGAATCCTCCTCCAATCCTTCTCCTCCTCCTCCTCTTCCTCCTCCTCCTGCTCGTCCTCCTCCTCCTCCTCTTCTTCCAACTCCTCCTCCTCCTCCTCCTCCAATCCTCCGCCCCCTTTTGTCTCCTTCCTTCCTCCTCCTCCTCCTCCTTTCCCTCCTCCTCGTCCTTCTCCTCCTCCGTAGCCATTTTGGCTCAAGTCCGTAACGGGAGGCTCAACGGCTTGAGGTTGGCAAAGAGGAGGTGCGCCCCCCCACCAAGGCTACTCTGAGTACGGTACCCTTCGGTACCCGACAGGCGCTCATTCCTTCGAATGAGCTCCTGCAGGAACCCATGGGCAAGGATGCCGCAAGGGCTTTGTCTCTTGCTCGTACTGCCGTTACTGTTGGAACTGGAAGCCTCGGACGTCCAGTTTTTCTCGCGCGGCACGGCCCGCGTGCCTGCGGTCCATCCGCCGTGGCGAAGGGCAGGGGGTTTGGGCTGGCGGCGATGGGAATCGGCGGACCCCTCCCAAGGGGCCGCCAGGGAAGTGGCAGCGGGGTGGCCCGCCCCATCGCTTCCATCCACCCAAGGCGTCGACGCCGCCGCAGCGAGGCGCGGGCACGCCCTCCGTCGGCGGGCTCCTGGCCCAACTCAGGCGGCAGGTTTGCAAGAAGGCGGCAGGGGCCCAGGGGCCCAGGGGCTGGCGCAGGCGGTCGCGCCCGAGCCCGCCCTCCTCCTCCTCCTCCTCCTCCTCCTCCTCCTCCTCCTCCTCCTCCTCCTCCTCCTCCTCCTCCTGGAGGAGACGATCAGCGCCACGGGCGTGGCCTGGTGGGCGCGCGGAGAAGACGCTGGAGGCGGCGGTGCAGCAGGAGGACGCTGCCAGACGCTGGCTGGAGGACTGCAGCAAGAAGACGGCTGCAGCGGCGGCCGCGGCTGTGCAGGCCAAAGCGGAGTGGGAGGCCGAGCTCAAGGCCGAGCTGCGCCGCGCCCGTGATGCTGCCGCCGAGGGCTCCCCCCTTTGCCTGCCGCCAGGGGAGGCGGCCGTCCGCGTGCCGACGAAGCCCTGACGAGCCGCAAGCCGCAGTCGACGAAGCCAGAGCCAAGCTGGCCAGCGTGGACAAGGAGGGCCTTTTAGCGGGCCAGAAGTGCGCCAAGCCATGGGCCCGCCGCCGCTCGTCCCCCCCCCTGCCTGCCAGGTGCCCCGACCGCCGATCGCGCCCGTTTTTTGTTGTTGTTTGTTGTTTTGTGTTTTTGTTTCAGTTGTTGGGGTGATTTTGTTTGTTTGTTGTTGTTGTTTTATGTTTTTGATGTGTTTTTTTATTCTATAGTTACGATATATATGTATATACAATTATATATAATTTTATATAGGTATAAGTTATTTATTTGTGTATATATATATAGATATATGCGAGAGCTCAAGCTGGATCCGGGACCTGGATTTGGAGGCTCCCCAGACGAGGAGGCACGGCAACTCTGGTGCGTCGAGTACTTGTTTTTTCCCAACAGGAACCCGACAGTTCAGGATTGCGCGGGGCGATCGCCACCAGGCATAGTCCCAGGGCTCGCTGGGAACATGGCCAAGACGGCCCAGGGGAACTTGAACAGGCTGCCGCAACGGCCTCTCGCGAAGCATGGAGGCGAAGTCTCCGCGGTCGTCAGAGCACGATGCGCCCGCTGACTCGTAACATCCGGAATGCCCATGCTGAGCGCCACTGGGCCGAACTGGGGCGGCTTCTGAAATTTTCAGAGACCAATTGGCAGGTCGCCGACGGGGCGCCTTTTCGGGGCAGCTCCGGCCCTTGAGAAGCCCAGCCGAGGGCAGACCCTAAACAGGGGTAGCGGGCCTTCGATCGAGGCCGCAGACATGCGGGTGGTCGATGCTTTCGATCAGGTCCAGCCTCCACTCTGGGCAGCAGATGCGCGGTCGGTCGATGCCCCAGCGTGGAGCGGCCCCGCAGGTGGATTGGGTCTCGTGCTGGGGTTGCCCCGAGATAGGCCCCGCGTGCCTGGCAATTTTTCGGGGCCTCGGAAGGTCCTTGGGGGGCCCAGCCGATGGCAGGCCCTAAAAGGGAGTAGCGGACCTTTGAGCGAGGCCGCAGGCATGCGGGTGGTCGACGCCCGCGATCAGGTCCAGCCTCCACTCTGGGCCGCAGATGCGCGGGTGGTCGATGCCCCAGGGTGGAGCGACCCCTCGGGCGCGACGGGTCACGGCTGCGCCCTGGGGGGGGGGGGGCACGGAATGGCAGGGCCAGACATGAAGGGGGGTGGGGGCCCAGGCGCAAGGCCGCAGACGCGCGGGCGGCCGAAGCCCTTGACCGAGCTCAGCCCCGCCACAGGGCCGCGGGCGCGCGGGCGGTCGATGCCCCTGCGGTGAGCACCCCCTTCCCAGGCGAAGGGGCGAGGTGTCGTCCTTAAGGGGGCCCGAGGAGGGCGGGCCCATAAGCTGGGAACGGAGCGCGCGAGCGACTTCGGGGTGCCCGCTGGAGGGCAGACCCATGAGCGCGAGGCGGCTGGACACCGCGTCGACATCGACGTGGTCAGCTACAACTCCAACGCATAACTGGCGGCGCAGAAGTGCCTGGAGTTGGCGCTCGACGTCAAAAGTACGCAGTTCGACGTCTGCCCCACGCGG